AAGGTGGAAATGGTAGATAGGCAGAGAGGGTGAACTGTGATTATTGGAAAGGTTAGGCAAGGACTGATAACCTGGGAGAGAGAGAGACGAGGATAAGAGGGGAAATGGGAAAGAGGAGGAGTGAAGGGGAGAGTAAAGGAAGGCAGAGGAAAATGAGGAACAGGAGATAGAAGAGGGAGGAGAGTATTAAAGAGGAAATGGAAAAGAGAGGAATGAGGGAAGGGTGAGGGAAAGACCTGATGGGAGAGAGAGAGAGAGAGAGAGAGAGAGAGAGAGAGAGAGAGAGAGAGAGAGAGAGAGAGAGAGACTACTTTTGAGAGAGGTAAGAGATAAAAGAGAAACATTAGGAAGAATTGAGAGACAAAAGAGAGATATTAGGTTGAGAAGTGAGAGAATACATTAGGGAGAATTAAGAGGTGAGAAACAGGAGTGAGAGAAGACACTAGGAAGATGAGAGACACCTAAAGAGAACTCCTTAGAGAAAGAGACAGTGTGAATCAAAACATTAAAATATCAATAATTATTCTCAAATACATTTTCATAAATTATACAACAAAGTTTATAAAGATCAATTGTATTAAAGTGATGAAAAAGTAGTATAAACGCCTTAAATACATCACATACTTGGTTATACATGGAGAAATATACCAGATGTATGGTATACTTACACCCAGATGGTATACAAACATACACACTACCATCAAGTATGTGGTGTGAGGAAGCATGGGTGACGTCACTTGGTCGATGACGTTCTGGCTGCTTATTGGCTGGTTAGAAGGGAGAAAACCGACCAATAGGAAAGCTCCAGGGGATGTAGAGTATCAATGACGTCAGAGTATGATTAATGACGTCACTGGTAATTCTTTTGTTTTTCTTAGAGCTTCAGTCTTTTTCTTACCTTATGTCTCCTAATTGGCTGATGACTCGACAGGTGAGTCACTAATTAGCAGAGGTAAACACCACTAATCAGATGGTTCTTATAATGATGTTAATGAGGATCAGCTCAGGTGTCAACACGCAAGGCAAGCTACCACGAACAGGACTCTTCAACCTTGATATTTTCTCTTGGGGGAAAGTCTAACCTAATCTAACAGGAATCTAACCTAATCAAACAGGAATCTAACAGGAATCTAACCTAATCTAACAGGAATTTAACCTAATCTAACAGGAATCTAACCTAATCTAACAGGAATCTAACCTAATCAAACAGGAATCTAACAGGAATCTAACCTAATCTAACAGGAATCTAACCTAATCTAACAGGAATCTAACCTAATTTAACTTAATCCTAACCGAACCAAATTATTCTTGTGTGGGTTCAATTTGGGTGGGGAGTGTAGGTTGGTTAGGTTAGGTTAGGGAGTGTAGGTTGGTTAGGTTAGGGAGTGTAGGTTGGTTAGGTTAGGGAGTGTAGGTTGGTTAGGTTAGGTTAGGGAGTGTAGGTTTTAGGAGTGTAGGTAGGAGTGCAGCTGGTTGGGTTGTAGGTTGGTTAGGAGTGTAGGTTGCTAGGTTAGGGAGTGTAGGCTGGTTGGGTTAGGAGGTTGGTTAGGTTAGGGAGTGTAGGTTGGTTAGGTTAGGAGTGTAGGTTGTTAGGTTAGGGAGTGTAGGCTGTTGGGGAGTGTGGGTTGGTTAGGTTAGGTTAGGAGGGTTAGGTTAGGAGTGCAGGCTGGTTAGGAGCAGGCGGTGGCTGGGTTAGGCTAGGTTGTGTTGGTTAGGTTAGGCTAGGAGTGGGTTGCTAGGGTTAGGGAGTGCAGGCTGGTTAGGTTAGGAGTGTAGGTTGGTTAGGGGTTAGGGAGGTTGGTTAGGTTAGGGGGAGTGTAGGTTAGGTCAGGGTTAGGGAGTGTAGGTTGTTAGGTTAGGAGTAGGTTGGCTGGTTAGGTTAGGGAGTGGCTGGTTAGGTTAGGGGAGTTGCAGGGGTTAGGTTTAGGTTAGGTTAGGAGTGGGTTGGTTGTGTAGGTTAGGGAGTGTAGGTTGGTTAGGTTGGGAGGTTAGGTAGGCTGGTTAGGGTTAGGGTTAGGAGGAGGTAGGCTAGGCAGGTTAGGGAGGTGTAGGCTAGGTTAGGTTAGGTTAGGGAGTGTAGGTTGGTTAGGTTAGGTTAGGGAGTGTAGGTTGGTTAGGTTAGGGAGTGTAGGTTGGTTAGGTTAGGTTAGGGAGTGTAGGTTGGTTAGGTTAGGTTAGGGAGTGTAGGTTGGTTAGGTTAGGTTAGGGAGTGTAAGTGGTAGTGATCCTGGTCTAGTAGTCTCCACCATGGCCCAGTGTGTGTGTTGGTCACCTGTCCTGATCACTAATGAGATATTGTCCAGGTAAAATCGTTCTTAAGTTACAAATGTTTACACCTGTCTAATATAACCAAGCCACGTAATACAGTGATTGTGAGGGGATAGTTATATAATTTACCGTATATATGTGTAATGTATATATATATATAAATAAATAAATATATACTTACACATATATATACATACATAGGATATTTATATATACATACATTTATACAAGAAACAGACGTATTTACAATAGATATTAAAAGATTCTAAAAAGTTTATAAAAGGGATCATGTATGACCTATGACCTCTGACCTATGACCCCCAGATGACCACACAGTAATCATATTCTCAGGCGTTTTTCCCCCTGAGGTGTCTTTCCACCCACCAGGTCACTCTTAGCCCCCCCCCCCACCCCCTGAGGTATCTTTCCACCCACCAGGTCACTCATACAGGTATTGGCCAGGTAAGTAAACCGCGCATTAAAGGCAGGTTACTTACCATGATTTAATACGTAAATATAATGGTCTTTTAAAACTGTTTCCTTATATAGAGGTTAGGTTAGGTTAGGTTAGGTTAGGTTAGGTTAGGTTAGGTTAGGTTAGGTTATTGGCCTCTGTGTTGCATTATAACGTGATTTTTGTGTAATTATTTTCTTATATGGCGTTAAATTAGGTTAGTTAAGGTTAGATTAGGTAAATTTAGGTTAGGTTAAGATAAGTTAGGTTTAAGATAGATTAAATTAGGTTAGGATACGTTAGATTAGATGTTAGCTTATCAGAATGGCCAGTAAGTTTATATAAAGTAACATATATTCTTGATTAATCTCTATATGTTGTAAACGGCTCCAGGTAATTGGCAATTGAGCAGTTAATTGGTAATTGAATAACATGAACAAGAACACCTGTTTGTTCATTCACCTGTGGGTAATTGGCCATGGTACTGTGTAATCGATATACCTACATTGTTATTCAGGTAGTTGGACCTCTGTTAATGGCCGCTTGTTTAATAGGCCTGTTTAGTACGGTGATTATCCGGTGACTATAGTGTGTGGGTGTGGTTTATGTAGTTTAATTTAATCCCTTGAGTATGGTGGTTTAATCCCTCGAGTATGGTGGTTTAATCCCTCGAGTATGGTGGTTTAATCCCTTGAGTATGGTGGTTTAATCCCTTGAGTTTGGTGGTTTAATCCCTTGAGTTTGGTGGTTTAACCCCTTGAGTATGATGATTTAACCCCTTGAGTTTGGTGGTTTAACCCCTTGAGTATGATGATTTAACCCTTTGAATATGATGATTTAACCCCTTGAATATGATGATTTAACCCCTTGAATATGATGATTTAACCCCTAGAATATGATGATTTAACCCCTTGAATATGATGATTTAACCCCTAGAATATGATGATTTAACCCCTTCAATATGATGATTTAACCCCTTGAATATGATGATTTAACCCTTGAATATATGATGATTTAACCCCTTGAATATGATGACTTAACCCCTTGAATGTGATGGTTAACCCTAGAATATGATGATTTAACACTTAGATATGATGATTTAATCCCTTGAGTATGGTGGTTTAATCCCTCGAGTATGGTGGTTTAATCCCTTGAGTATGGTGGTTTAATCCCTTGAGTATGGTGGTTTAATCCCTTGAGTATGGTGGTTTAACCCCTTGAATATGATGATTTAGCCCCTTGAATATGATGATTTAACCCCTTGAATATGATGATTTAACCCCTTGAATATGATGATTTAACCCCTTGAATATGATGATTTAACCCCTAGAATATGATGATTTAACCCTTTGAATATGATGATTTAACCCCTTGAATATGATGATTTAACCCCTTGAATATGATTTAACCCCTTGAATATGATGATTTAACCCCTTGAATATGATGATTTAACCCCTTGAATATGATGATTTAACCCCTTGAATATGATGATTTAACCCCTAGAATATGATTTAACCCCTTGAATATGATGATTTAACCCTTCAATATGATGATTTAACCCTTCAATATGATGATTTAACCCCTTGAATATGATGATTTACTTATGAATATGATGATTTAACTTGAATATGATGATTTAACCCCTTGAATATGATGATTTAACCCATGAATATGATGATTTAACCCTTGAATATGATGATTTAACGCCTTGAATATGGTGATTTAACCCCTTGAGTGTGGTGATTTAACCCCTTGAGTGTGGTGATATAACCCCTTGAATATGATGATTTAACCCCTTGAGTATGGTGATTTAACCCCTTGAGTATGGTGATTTAACCCCTTGAGTATGGTGATTTAACCCCTTGAGTATGGTGATTTAACCCCTTGAATATGATGATTTAACCCCTTGAATATGATGATTTAACCCCTTGAGTATGGTGATTTAACCCCTTGAGTATGGTGATTTAACCCTTTGAATATGATGATTTAACCCCTTGAGTATGGTGATTTAACCCCTTGAATATGATGATTTAACCCCTTGAGTATGGTGATTTAACAACTTGAGTGTGGTGATTTAACCCCTTGAATATGATGATTTAACCCCTTGAGTATGGTGATTTACCCCTGAATATGATGATTTAACCCCTTGAATATGATGATTTAACCCCTTGAATATGATGATTTAACCCTTGAATATGATGATTTAACCCCTTGAATATGATGATTTAACCCTTGAATATGATGATTTAACCCCTTGAATATGATGATTTAACCCTAGAATATGATGATTTAACCCCTTGAATATGATGATTTAACCCCTTGAATATGATGATTTAACCCCTTGAATATCAAATTAATATCACATAATTCAAACCTCTTTTTTATTCTTGCAGGAGATGGAAGAAAATCAAAGCCAACTATCGTAATAAAGGTGAGTTATGGAATCTATATTTTTATTCCGTTTATTGGTGCATATCTCACCTGGTGGGGGGAGGGTGTTAATCAGGTAGCTAGTCGTTGGCTTAATGCACCTGGCTTCCTCTTACTGGTCATTAGAGGTCATTGGTTATAGCAGGTCATATATTTTACATATATACCTACATATACGATATATTTTACAGAATACATATATACTTATATACACAAATATGCTCGATATTTTAACACACAGCCACGTACACACCTCATATTTTACATACACATGACATGATATCTTACATACGCACACAGATGTACACATGATTTATATATATATACACTAGTTACTTATAAATATGATCTTTTACACACATATATAGATAGAAATTTAGTTATATTATTACTTAATATATATGTGTGTGTGTGTGTGTGTGTGTGTGTGTTTGTGTGTGTGTGTGTGTGTGTGTGTGTGTGTGTAATAGTCTTATGACTGTATGGTTAGTGTTTGTGGTTCTGTGTTGCTGTTACATACTGCTGTTGAGGCTGTTTTTGATGCTGTTACTGCTGTTGTGTTTACTGATGCTGTTGATAGTCTAGTTGTTATTGTTGTTGCTGTTGTTGTTGTTGTTGCTGTTCTTGTTGTTGTTGTTGTTCTACGATGTTGTTGGTCTGGTTCCCTGCAATACCTCAACACCATTCGTTTTTGAGTTTGAGAATGGGATGTAGGTGACACTTTCCACCAGTTACTGCCGGAAAGTACTGCTCTAGAGGAAGACCAAGAAGACGAGGTGGAGGACACTACTACTTTCCATGGCAGTGTCCAGGAGCCAGAAGGAGCCACTGTCGCCTGGAGGAGTAGCAGAAGGAAGACCAATACGACTAGAGATGGCGCCGCTATCGTCTTTGGGGACCCCGACTCTCCATGTTGCATCGCCGCTGGGTATTCTTCTGGTGGAAAGGACTCAGTGATACACGGCACAGATTTCAAGCTATTTTTAAGGTGTTGTGGGTAGTATGTTTTAAGGGGTTTGAGGGGTTTTTTAAGGTTTGTAAGGGGTTTTATGTGTCTTTTAGGAGTTTCAGGGTTTGGGGTTTCAATGTGTTTTTAAGTGTTTCTAAGGTATTTTAGGGTGTTTTAATGTGTTGTAAGGGGTTTAAGGTGTTGTAAGGGGGTTTAAGGTGTTGTATGTTTAATGCGTTTTAAGGGTATTAGAGAGTTTCAATGTGTTTTAAGGTGTCTTTAAGGTGTTTTATAGGTTTTAAGGTGTTTCATTGTGTTTTAGTAGGTTTTAAGGTGTTTCATGGTTTTTAGTGTTTGGTTTCATGTTCTTAGTGGGTTTTAAGGTGTTTCATTGTGTTTTAGTGGGTATTCAGGTGTTTCATTGTTTTTTTTGTGTTTCAAGGTGTTTTAATGTGTCTAAATGATAAGTTAAGGAGTTATATAGTTACGATTCATCAATCATACAACATAATGTATTGTACTACAACACCCAGAGATGTAAAATACACCACCCCCATCTGCCTACAACCATACACAGAGTAAATCCACCAGTAACAATTACCGTTAAGTCACGAACCATAACCTAATAACATCACTACCCAGCCATGAACAACCTGTTATGGTCATTACACTTGTTAAACTCAACACAGGTGATCGTTAATCGTCATATACAGGTAAATCGTTAATCGTCATATACAGGTAAATAGTTAATCGTCATATACAGGTAAATCGTTAATCGTCATATACAGGTAAATCGTTAATCGTCATATACAGGTAAATCGTTAATCGTCATATACAGGTAAATCGTTAATCGTCATATACAGGTAAATCGTTAATCGTCATATACAGGTAAATCGTTAATCGTCATATACAGGTAAATTGTTAATCGTCATATACAGGTAAATTGTTAATCGTCATATACAGGTAAATCGTTAATCGTCATATACAGGTAAATCGTTAATCGTCATATACAGGTAAACGTTAATCGTCATATACAGGTAAATCGTTAATCGTCATATACAGGTAAATCGTTAATCGTCATATACAGGTAAATCGTTAATCGTCATATACAGGTAAATCGTTAATCGTCATATACAGGTAAATCGTTAATCGTCATATACAGGTAAATCGTTAATCGTCATATACAGGTAAATCGTTAATCGTCATATACAGGTAAATCGTTAATCGTCATATACAGGTAAATCGTTAATCGTCATATACAGGTAAATCGTTAATCGTCATTCAGGTAAGTCGATTTCCGTCATACACAGGTAATCATCAATCATCATACACATATATACAGTATTTCAGTGTATATTTTATCCAGGTGAGCTGTCGTTTAGTCGCCATGAATAATTAT